GCAGTCACAGGAACACCCATAGCTTCTCTTCTGCCATTTAAACTCAGCTCTCGGGGAGGACAGAAGGTGACGGAGGTCCCTGGATGAGGGGCAGCCAGGTGGCAACCGCTGTGAGCACTCAGAGGGGCCGGAGAGACAGGCTTGGGGCTGCAGGTAGTGGAGGCCACAGTGTACATGGCACAGGGCTTTAGAGGTGGCAGGGTGATAGTGACCACAATGTGTATTACTCCGTGTGTGCAGGTATGCACATGCGTGTCCTCACATGTGTATGTTCAGGCACACACATTTGTGTGTGCACACATGTACAGGTGTGAAACGTCGTGGTGCATCATGTGTGTGCAGATGTGCACGTGTGTGTGCAAGTATGTGTTTGTGTGTACATGAAGTCCATGCACTGTCGGAGGTGGAGGAAGGGATAACCAGGCCTATTGCCAGGTCCATTGCCTGGTTGTGACTTGGCAGGGCCTGCGGCAGGGACTGCAGACCCATCCTGAGGGAGGAGAGGGTCAGGGACCCACCCACCACCTGGAACTTGTTGCACGGTCCATCTGAGCACAGCTGGAGTGTGCCCATCTCCAGTCCCGCCCTATGCACTGCTGGCTGGTGGTGGTGGTGGCAGCAGTGGTGTTGGGGCCACATTGACTTTTGTGTGCCAGGGTTCTTTGGCCTCCGTGGGCCCTTTCCTCCAGACATTAAGATATTAAAAATTCAATTTTACAATTGCATTGGCATCAAGATGAATGTATGAATCCTAGTGGTGAGGCCTGTTTGAACAGCCCTGAGCGCAGTAAAGAAGGAATTTCACCAAAGCTCTGGGGCCACTTGCATCTAGGCCATTCCACCATTGGGCCCAGGAGGGAAACGAGACTGTTCCAGGCAGGGCATCTGTTTCTTCAGCTGAAACTCACTGGGCTTTGCATGCTGGGAACGCCGAAGAAGCCAGGGAAGCTTTGGCCTTTGAAGCAGCTGGCTTGAACCCAGAGGAGGCAAGGGCTCCCAGAAAATCAGACTGGGCCAGGAGGCAGTGGCAGCAGTGTCAGTGGCCACAGCGCTCTCAGAAGGAGACAGAGCCAACGAAGATGCCGTGAGAGGTGGCAGAGGCGGCAGCCACCAATGACAGGGTGGGACTCATGCCAGGGGGACATTTGTCATGGGAGCCTCCAGGAGAGGAAGAAGTGAACCAAGAGTCCAGCGCCCAGAGAATCCCTGTGGGGACACCTGGCTGGAGGTGCGGGGTGGGAGGGGGTGGGGAAGGGGAGCATGAGAACCGCAAAAGGCCAGCAGATGGCCCAGAGCCATGAGGCAGTGGCTGCTGACTCTTCAGGGACTGCAGTGTCAATGGGGGGTTGACAGGCCTCTATCTTGGCTCAGACCTTGATTGGAGATGCAAAAATGTCAGGTCCTGGGGGACTGGGAGGGTAAAAGGCAGGGTCTCCTGTGGATTCCTTTTGGCTGCCCAGGCTTCTTGGTTCCTGGTCAGGGAGGGCACTTTTCTGAGTCCTTGCTGCAGCCTGAGGAGGAGGTGGCCTCTTGTTAAGCAGAGAAGGAAGGAGGAAGAGGCTGGGTGTGGCAGGCAGAGCAGGCCAGGCAGGACTGGAGACCAGGGGTTCCAGCCTGGCTCCACCCTGCCCCACCAGAAAACTCCCCGAGCCTCAGTTTCCCATGCACCAGAGGAGGGCGTGAGATCCGGTGCTATCTGACCCCTTCTCCCAATCCTGGTGCTTTATAACCTAACAAGCCGATGTGGGAGACTTCTGAGGGAGCCCAGGGCGGGTAGAGCAGAATGGAGGCTGCTGGGGCCCAGGAGAGAGGCGGAGCTCAGCGTGAGGATGTGCTCCAAAGCCACTTAGATACATGACGCTTCTTTCCAGGGCCCCACAGCGCCGAGGCCGTTCCAGGCAGAGCCCCTGTCCTGCCCTGCCCTCCCTAAGGGTGTGGGCTGGCAGCCTGGCACAGATGCCACCCCCAGCTTTTTCTGCAAGTGAGGAATGCCTGCCCTTTCGGGCCAGTAGGGATTCCTCACCCTCAGGGCAGGGCTGGGGAAAATGTGACTTCACTCCTTCCTGGACTTCCTTCCCACAGAATTGGGGTGGAAGTGGGGCCCAGTCTCCTCAGGGCACCCTCATTCTGAGAGTTCAGTCCGACTCTCAAATCTCTGCCCCGTCCCTGAATGTGGCACCTCAAGCCCTCACAGACCCCAGCCTGGCTGATGGCAACTTTTTCCCGTCCTGTCTCTGTGGCTCATCCTCGATGGCATCAAGCAGGGACCATTGCTGGAGAGTTGATGGTAAAACATCAGAAAACTATGCTTTCCATAAAGAAATGGGTACAATGTTATCCCTGCACCCCTAGGACAGTAAGCCTGGCCAGTGCTCAGGGCAGGCAGCGGTGGGGTGAGGAGGGGCTGGGGGCAGGGAGAGGAGAAGTGCATGGGAGGCAGTAGCCTAGAAAATTACTAAATTGTTCCAGCTCTGGTGAATCACCGGTGGCCCGCTAAATCCGCTTTTGATTTAAGAGAGATCGTGTGACACCTAAACGTTCAGGAATTATCTGTCAGACAGGGAGGAATTCACCGGCTTTGAGAGGTGGGTGCCTATCTCTTCTCTCGGGGGATTGAGACAGTCAGCAGATGCCACCAGGATAACCCCCTCCATGCCCAGCCCTGTGCTCAGCTCTGCGGCAGGGCACGGTGAGCAGGAACACAGACGCCTAGGCCCTGCTTTGGGGACTGTGGGCCTGGGGTGAGCACGGCCTTGGCCTTCACCGAGGGTTCTGTTGTGGAGGAGGGATCAGGAGGGGCTGCTGCAGCTGGGGAGGAGGGCAACGGCACCGTGGCAGAGTGTGGGTGCCAGCAACCAGGCACTGCCAGCCTGGGGCATGGAGCTGGAGCCTCTGTCTAGAGCAGGAGGGGGTGGTGAGGGCCTCAAAAGGATGGCCAGTGGAGAGCTCCGGGCAGAGGAGCTTGAGAGACCCTGGGGCCATCCTGTCTCTTCTCTGGGTCTGTGTGCCCTGGACCTGGGCCCCTCCTCTGCTCCCCCGGGCTTGGAGAGGGCTGGCCTTGCCTCATGCAAAGGACCACTGTAGACCGGTCCATGGCCAGTGGCCTCCTGTGGGTGCAGGCCTGTGTCTGCACCACCTCTCAGGGTGACCTGAGAGCCAGGGCCGGCAGGTCAGTCAGGAGTGGGATGGCAGCAGATGCCCTGTGCAGGATCTTTAAGCAGAGGCAGGAGCCACTGGTCAGTTGGGATGGATTTACTGGGAGGAGCATTTTCTGATTTTTCACCACCTCCTTTCTAGTACCCACAGGAACTGGGTCCTTTCTTCCCACCCTCCATCAGGGTTCTCTGCCCCAATTCAGGAAAGCCTGAATGATTCTGGAAAATTCATCCAAGCTGTGGGCGAGCTGATGGTGACTAGATGGTCCGGACCAGTCTGCTGTCTGAGTCCCCTCCTACCCCAAGCTCCATCTTCCTGGTGGCCCTCCTGGAGGGAATGAAGTCATTGTTTCCCCCAGCCAGGCCTGTGGGTGGGAAATCCCTGCTGGCCCCAGAGGGATGGTCCATCCCGCCTTGGCCGCTCTACCCTGCACTTAGCAGAAGCTTCTGGCCAGTGATAACCTCAGCCACACCCAAGGTCTGGACCCTCAGCCAACACCCGAGGCTCCATCCACCTTCCTCCGGATGAAGTCCAAGGCTCTCCCACTGGGAGATGGGGCCCAGACAGTCCTGGGAAAAGCCAGCTCTGGCTGGAACGTGGGTCTCCCAGGCATGTCAGGAATGAGGCACATCTGGAAAAGCCTTTGCCGAGACCATTGCTGTCAGCTGGGCCAGGCAGTGCCCAGCCTCAGTGGCCTTAAGCCCCGCCCAGGGCTCAGAAGTGGGGGTGGGGGCAGCCCCTTTATTTAGCTTGGCTTGGCCCGAGTCCATGGGAGGACCCAGGAGCCAGCAGAGGGCGAGGGGACAGCACCTGCCAAGTCAGGAAGTCCTGGAAGAGAGCTGGGCTGCACACAGCACCTGCCCTGGAGCCCAGTCTCCCAGGGCTCACTGGAATCACAGGGATGGCTCTGGCTGCCCTCAGCTCCTCTGGTGCCCACTCTTAGTCTGGTGCTTCCATTCCTGCCCCACCACCCCAATTATACATGGTTGTTGGAGGCTGTCCCCTCCTCCCTCCCTCCCCCCTACCCTATCCTGGCACCTCTCTGGGCCTGCAGCCCCCAGATTTTGTACTGGGCTTTCTGTCTGGTAACCAGGTCATCGGGGGCCCTTCCTGACAGGCGGGCAGAGAACTGCATTTGGGCTCTGGGATGGGTGCGTCCTGAGTTTTAGTGCCAGCTCTGCCTTTCCTTGGCAAGTCACTTACAATCTGAGCCTTCTGGGGATGCAGGAAACAGGCCCCAGCTGGACACTGTGTCCTTTCTTCCTTCCTTCCTCCTCTGGTCGGCCTGGATTTGTGGCAGATCAGAAAGAAGGAGGCGGAGGGGTTAGAGACATCCCTGGGCCTGGGGCTCCAGCGGCAAGCCTTTCCCTTTTTTTATCCACATGGCCAGGTGACGGCCACAGGGCCCCTCGGAGATGGTGGGCACATGAGCTCCGTATCGGCATTCCTGGCCGTGCCTGCATTCTGGTGGCGCCTCCTGCTGACAGCCATGCCTTCCTTCAAAAGAATGGAGCCGTAATGGTGGTATTAAAGGCAGAGGCCACACTCACAAGGGGGAGAGGGTGGGAGACACAGGGGGAGGTGGAGTGGCACCCTGAGGACCCTCATAGCCTCCTGAGATTGGTGGGCACCTACCTGTCTGGGCAAAAGTGCTTTGCCTGACCACTTCGCCCTGATCCCCCTGGCCTCCTGCCCCAGTGCAGAGCAGGGGCTTCTGCTGAGCGCACACACCCACATACGCACACACACTCCACAATACGTCGATCATCAGCCAGCGTGTCCTCACCTAGCCTGCGGGCCCTCACACCAAGATGGAAACTGCATGTGAACAGGAGCTGGTCTGTCTGGCTCGTGGCTGTCTCCCCTGTACCCAGAGCAATGTCTGGCATGTGACACACACTAAACATTTATCCACTTACATTAGTAAGTCCCAGATGAGTCTTACCCACATGGGCCCCCTAGCAAATCATGGGTCTTCAGCTGCACAGATGCTGACCCAGCCACGGACACCATCATGGACACACGGGACATGCCTGGGTCCACGCAGGCCTGTTTTCCTGTCTCTGCCACTCTGCATGGCCACACTGGCCTGAGTTCAGTGGCTCCTTGTGGCCTGGTGCCAGTTCTGCCTCTGCTTCTTTGCTCAAGTCTTCTTGGCTGAGTCCCAGCACCCGCCAGCCTCATAACAGCCCTGCACCAAGCAGAGCAGGGCAGGGACAGGTGAGGGGAGGAGGAGGGTGGTGTGTATGTCTCTCAGTAGACATGGTCTGCGGGAGACACCCAGGAGCCTGTGGCCTGAAGGGAAATAGCCGTGTTCCAGAGGACTCTGGTCTGAGGGGTGCCACCCCCTGCCCTCAGGAGCCAGGTCTGCAGGAGAAACAGTCTGCCCTCCAAAACTTCAAGGTGAGGGGATCCTAGCCCTGCAGAGAGAGCTCTGGTTGGACACCCCTGGAACTGACCAGAGAGCTCCTCATGTGGGTCAATGTCCCTGCCAGGGCGTGGGGCCAAGGGCCAGGGGCCAGGGGTGTGAGGGAGCCTCCCAGAGACTGGAATGCTGAGCCAGGGTTCCTCAGAGGAAAGGATGTAGAGGAGGGCCCAGGAAGTAGCCCAGCAGGGCCAGTTCCTTCTCCTGGACAGCTGAGAAAGTACTGATGACTTTCGGCCACCTGGGCTCTCTGAGCAGGCAGGGTCTGCTGGCCACCACCGTCCTGTATAGGCACTTAGGGGAATGCGTCATCCCCACCTGCAGCCCCAGCAAACACACACCAGGCTGGTCCCTGGCAGTTCACCCCGAGAGCCAGGCCACAGCTGGGCAGAGGGGTGGCCAGTAATGGCTGGTGTCATTCTCTGCAGGATGGCCCCTGGACAAGAGGCATAAGACCCACTCATCCTTATCCTGCCCCAGGCACACTTAGAACTCAGAGAAGTCCTCTCACCAGGCCTGTAAATGGGAAGATGCCAACACTCCCGAGTAGGACGGTGGTGGGGCAGGCGGGAGGTGGGAGGAGAGCCCAGATCACCCCAGGCACTCCCTAGGGGATGCAGGGGGACCCTCCCTCCTGGGCCTGGCTCTTCCAGCACGTTCCATGCAGCAGGCAAGTGGGCCAGGCCCAGGGATTCCTGACAGCTTGCTGGCCCCAGAGTCCGGATTCTTTTTGTTTGTTGGCTGGCGCTGGGCCTCTGGATTGGAGATGCCCAGGGCGCAGGGGGCCCGCGGGGGTCCGCAGCAGGGCCTTGGCCCCTCCCTTTGCAGGGGCTCGTCTGGGCCCTACTGCTCTCTCCTTCTCCTCATTTATCTCTCCCTTTCTACTTCTTGGCTCTGGGTCCAGTCCTATCTCCCTGTTTCAGTTTGTCTTTTCCTAGCCCTCTGCGTTCTCTCTGTCTCTCTTGGCCCTGCTTGTCTCACTGTCTCTGGTTGGGGGTCTGTCTCTTTCGCTTCCACTTTTGCTCTATTTCCCGGCTACTGTCTTTCCTTTCTCCTTGTCTGTCTCTTCTCCTCCCCTCAGCCTGCATCTCTGTCTCTCCCTTTCTCTCCTGCTCCCTCCCTCCCTCCTCTCCATCACCTTCCAATGCCAGGTGGGGCTGCCGTTCCTTCCACCTTCCCAGTGACCCGCCAGTGTGACTGCCTTGAGAGGAAAGTCCTAAACTGTCCCATCTTCACCAACCTGCCCACAAATCATTGGTTCAAATTGCTCTGGAGAAGTTTGGGAGCTCCCAGGGTAGCGGCTTTCTAACAGCTCTGCCTAGCTCAGGCCTGTCCCCAACCACAGCGTGGAGGGCAGCCACAGACAACCTCTCTGCACCTTCTGATGCCTCTGTGCCCCATCCACAGAGCCCTGGCTCGGGGAGACTGGGGACTCTGGGACATCCCTAACATGGCATGCAGTGGCCGTGCGGGAGGCCCTGACTGCCCCTCTGGAGCCCTGGACCCAGGGACTCCAGACCAGTGCCTCTCTGGATTGGGATGGGGATATCAGGCCGGCAGGATCATGGTGCCTGCCTCCAGGGAGGGCAACGTCCACCCACTGAGTCCAGCCCGCCCACCCCGCCCACTCCGGAGCACCTGGCTGTGTCCTCAGGAACCCCCTGAGCTTTGCACACAGGGCGAAGACACCTGGATTTCTCTGGTCCCCTGAGTGGGGCCAGCTTGGAAGAATTTCCCAAAGCCTATTAGAGCGACGGCTGCCTCCTGCCTGCCTCCTTGGGCTGGGCAGGGCTGAGGGCGGAGGGAGAGAGAGAGGGAGGGGGAGAGGAGGAAGGAAAAAGTTGGCAGGCGGACAGCAGAGCCGTGTCTGCATCCATCCAGAGGAGGTTCGTGCGGTGTGGGGCGGGCCAGGAGTGAAGAGAGGCCTTCCTCCCTTTGTGCTCCCCCCGCCCCCCGGCCCTATAAATAGGCCCAGCCCAGGCTGTGGCTCAGCTCTCAGAGGGAGTTGAGCACCCGACAGCAGTCTCAGGCCAAGCCCCCTGCCAGCATGGCCAGTGAGTTCAAGAAGAAGCTCTTCTGGAGGGCAGTGGTGGCCGAGTTCCTGGCCACGACCCTCTTTGTCTTCATCAGCATCGGCTCTGCCCTGGGGTTCAAATACCCGGTGGGGAACAACCAGACGGCGGTCCAGGACAATGTGAAGGTGTCGCTGGCCTTCGGACTGAGCATCGCCACGCTGGCACAGAGCGTGGGTCACATCAGTGGCGCCCACCTCAACCCGGCTGTCACGCTGGGGCTGCTGCTCAGCTGCCAGATCAGCATCTTCCGTGCCCTCATGTACATCATCGCCCAGTGCGTGGGGGCCATCGTCGCCACTGCCATCCTCTCAGGCATCACCTCCTCCCTGCCTGGGAACTCGCTCGGCCGCAATGACGTGAGTGGGGTGTCCCCGAGCTTGGGGGGTTCTAGAACGATGCTGAAAGGCACCAGTTCCATCCTCTGCCCATCGTGCAGATGCGGACACTGAGGAACAGAGAGGACAAGAGGTTGTTGGAGGTCACATAGAGAGCCGGGGGGAAAGCTGGGGCTGGAACTCAGTTACGCATGCCTCCCAGAGCCTGTTTTCTGCCAGGCACTGTGGGAAGCTGAGATCAAGAGAATAATGGTCTTGCCAATGTCCCCTGCAGGGCATCTATTATGGGGAATAAGCTTGGCCAACAGTTCCTCGCCCCTTGGCTGTAGCTTTTTGGCCCTTCTCAGTCCTGCCTGTGCCGCCAACTCCCTCCTCCCGCAGCCCTGTACCCCGGGGAAACTTCGCCCGCTTTCCCCAGCCACCCTGAACCAGATGCCCAGCCTGTCTGCAGCTGGTTCTGCAGGTGTGTGAACAGGACTCCCTCATGGAGCCCCCCATATGCACACAGGTTTCCAAACAAACCACCTCTAGGAATCCAGAGAAAGGCCGTCTTCCACTCTTCCGCCCCTGGGAATTAGACAAAGATAAGGCAGTGAAAACACTTTCTGGGGCTGTTTGAAGGCAGTTTTCCTGGATTACAGTATGGGCTGGGGGGCAAGTACTGGGCTCCATGGTCTCCAGGCACTGAGAGGTGTGGCGTGTGTGTGTGTGCGCGCGCGCATGTGCGTGTGTGCATGTACGTGTGTGTGTGTGTGAAGGTGTGTATGTGTGCATGCGTCTGCCAGCATGAGTCTCTGTGCTTGTGTAAACTGTGTGCATGTTTGTGCTGCTGTGTTAGGGTGTGTGGGGTGAGTTGGCAACCACATGTGCCAGTGGTTCCTGGCTTGAATGGGGTCTGGACTGGGGTCACTAATGACAAGCAGATGCTGGTGACTGGGTGGCAGCTGTGGAAAAGAATGTCTCCTGGGCTGCTTAGCATGGCAAAGTGGCCGCTGGTGGCAGCTGCCTGCTGTCCCAGACCTGGCCTTTCCCAGCTCCTCAGACAAGTGCAAACTCAGGCCGGGCTTGGGCAACAGCAGGGGGCGATTTGGCCTGAGAGACTGAGGAAGGCTTCGAGGATGTCTCTGAAGGCCCAAGGGACAGGTGAGCAGGCTTGGGGGTGCCCTCACAGGGAGGGAGAGAGGTTAAGGAGCAGAGAGGAGGACTTGTCTGGAGAGATGAGGCTGGCAGGGCTGTAGGCAGGGCAGGTGGGTGTGGGGACTGTGTGGGCCATCTCTGAGGGCGCCTCAGAGATGGCAGTAGTGATTACAGCGGCTGTCCTCTTGCTTCCCAGTCAAAGTTCAGATCCTGCAGCTGACAGCCTGGCGGAGGCTAGGTGAAGGTCTGGTGCAGAGGGCAGCTGGCTCAGCCCAGCCAAGGGGGGCTTAGCGCTTTTGTGTCACGGTGACACCTCACCCAACCTCCTCTGCAGCCAACCTCTGCTTGGCCCAAGATTGAAGATTACCTCCATGGGCTGGAGTTTAGACTTTAGCCAGTTTAGACGTGGCTGCGGGGTATGTATGGGACAGAGCTCAGGCAGGCCACGTCAAGCTCTGCCCCCAGGCCTCAGTTTCCAGTGGGGGCAGAGCTTGTGGCCTTGGGGAGTTCCACTGGGTAGGGTCAAGCTCACACTGAAGCTTGGCTGGGTATGCTGGGCTGGGGAAGCGCCCTGTAGGGGAGGGGATGTGATTCCTAGACTTTCTGACCCCATATCGTCCCTCCCATCTCACAGGGCAGAACCTCTGCAACTGCTGGCAGAGGCTTCACACTCTAGTATGCGCATCCGAGCCAGAGGCGGGAGGGCGGGCCCCTTCTGTGCCATCTGGATCAGAGGCCACACCCAACTCCTGTGCCCCATTCCCTCCCTGGCCTTCATGTTTTATAGTCACCCCAATACTTGGGCTGGGCGTGTTGCAAATGGGAGAGAAAGAGGAGCAGCCTAGTGTGGGAGCCGGCCCTGGGCTGAGAGGCAGACACCTGGGTTCAAGACCTGTCTGCTGCTAACTTATTGAGCTTTATTGGAGCTGCGGACCCTGACCCTCGAGAGGGGACTTAGGTGTTGTGACCTCACAGCCACACCCAGACAGCCAGCTCACTTCATTGCTTTGAGCTTATCACCCATCCCACGAAGGCTGGCTAAGAGCAGCCCAGCAGGGGCAGTGCTGAACATAAGGGTGCTAAGCATGATGGTGGGGGCTCAGGCACTGCCCTGTCCCGACAGTGGAAGGGTGGGGGTCAGAAGCTCAACTCTGGGCCTAGAAATAGAGAAGGTACCCCCCTAAAGGCTCCCGTCAGACACTGGCCCTGGAACTGGAGGGGTCTCAGGCGTGGCCTGGATGCCTCAAGAGGAGCAGGGAACGGTCTGGGCAGCAGGTGACACACTGTCCTTCATGACCTGGGGGAGGCTCCTGCAGCCCCTCTGGCCCTGAGCCCCACCCCGGCCAAAACCTGGGTGGGGCAAGTGGTTGGCATGGAGATTTCCAAGGAAAACAGAGAAAGAAGTGGCAGGAAGTGGTTGCAGTGAGTCAGGGGGGGTGTCCCTTCGGGACATGTTGGGGACAACTTTCTCCTGACTGAGTCAGGGCTCAGGATACGCCCTAGAGAGACCGTGGGCCTCCATCCAGCCTGCAAGGTCCCGGTTAGTACTAAGAGCCATATACTCATTTTAGCCAAGGGTGAGAGGCTCTGAGGCTGGGGTGGACACTTTTGCCTGTCCCTGTCCTAGCTCAGCCACTAATACCATGTGGCATTACACAACAGACCGGCCTGTGTGGCCCTAGTTCCTGTCTATGAGATAGTGACATAGCAGGGTGTGGCTGGGCTCTGAGAAGTAGGAGATGCTGGTGGACTCAGGATTCCTGGTATTTGCCAGCTTTTTTCATTCTTCTGCTGTCTGGTCTGCTCAGCCGGCTCCCTACAAGCATGACCGGGGACTGCTAGGTGCTCAGTGCAGGGCTAGGTTAGCCTGGCTGCCTCCCCAGAGAAGCCCACAGCCTTAGGTCAAGATAAGCCAGTGCCCAGCTGTCTGTGATACAGAGCAGGAGGCAGATGCGATAAGAGGTGTCAGGGCAGGCCCAGGAACTTTTGAACTTAAGGGGTGGGAGGGCCCGGAAGGCATCAGGGAGAAGGTTTCGTAGGAGCCTGAATGTGGAGACATGGCAGAGGGAAGGGACAGAGGGACTGTGTGAGCACAGGCTAGGAGGAGGTGGGGGCCGTGGTGTGGGAGTTGCGGGGTATGGTCAGGCTGGAGGGGCATGGGAGGAGGGTGGTGAGTGCTCAGGATTTGGGCCAGGGGCTGCATCCAGGGGAAGGGGTCTGGGTCCCCAGAGCCTGTGATTTCAGCCCCCTGGGCTCAGGCAGAGGGCAAAGCTACCCTCTTTGGGGTCTTCTCCCAGCCCTGCTCATTCGGGGCCTGACTGCTCATGAAGTGTTTCCACCTGCAGCATCAGGGGCCTGACCGAAGCCCTAAGCTCTCCCCTTTATCCCATTTTTCTGGGCCTCAGTTTCCCCAGTCATAAAGTGAGAGGCCCCTTCATGCCACCAGTTCTCCCGGGGGCGCTGCCACCTCCTCCAGAGCTCAGGGGAGGGCTGGGGAAAGGAAGGCAGAGTTTCCATGTCCCTGCCCAGCCCGGCCTGCCCAGGGAGGGGCTGGGGGCTGGGTGGTGATGCCACATCTGGGACATATAATTACTGTTTCCGCCAGCCCCAGATGAGGGGGAGGGCACAGAGATGGGGCGGGAGCTTTGTGGTGGAGACTTCCCTCATCACGGAAAATCCTGAGGCTGCTTCCCCTTTAAGGCCCTCAGAATAGCCCTCAGAATAGTCCCAGTGTTGCCCATCCCAATGCTTGGCCCTGACCGGGGCTTGCCCTGGGAACTCTGAAGGGGCCATGCTTTGAGAAGGGACATGGTCCCCTGGGATGCCTGTCTGAGGGGCTCACCCCCTGCTCATTACCCCCAGGCCACAGCCTCCTTTCACACCTTGCCTTCCCTTCCCCACCCCAGGCAACCTTCCAGCAGCGTGAAGGGGCCATTAGTTCACTGCAAGCCAATTTCAGATGGTGCCCCCACTTAGTCTAGGGCCCCCACCCAGCAGGGGCCATGGCCCTTACCTTCTAGAAGCGCCAAGTCTGGAGTCTCCTGAATGGCTGGGATCTGAGCCCTCACACCTGGAGGTGAAGGCAGGAAAATGCTGTCCACGAGGCCCTGCAAGTAGCCAGGGTCCCCTCAGTCAGGGATTCCCCCTGGGGACAAGAGGGGCTCCTTGCCCACATGGAATGGTGCCCAGGGGGATCATGAGGGGCTGTCTTCACTCAGCCAGGAGCTACAGTTCAGTGGGGTGGGCATACTCTGAGGCTGAAATCTCCAACTTAAAAGATATCCAGAAAGGCTGGAAAATGCCCCCGGCCCTTTCAGCAGCTCCTTTCAGTGCCTGCGATCTCACTGTCAGGGCCCCTTGAGAGGCATATTTTTACTCAGTGTAAGGAAGGTTGTTGTTGATATTGTTGTTGA